CATTTAAGGACATTGAAGAGTTACGCGAAGGCGAATCGTTTTGAAACAAACGATCTTGAGGAGATCGTTCTGAAAATTAGATACATAGATTTAGAGTCAAAGAAATGACATGCGATATAAAGTTTGAAAATTGGCAATACCTTGACTTAATTGTTGAGTCAGAATTTGATACAAATTACTAAGTAAAGCATCTTGCGCAGCAAGATTACGTCTAAAAGTAATTATTTCCTCTAAAATGGAACCACAATTTCTTGATAGAGTACTGACTTGTCCAGTCAAATCGGCATGTAATTCTGTAAGATTTTCCACTTGAGAATGTAGATCTTGGTGGATGCTTGGAGGCGCGGGTGCTACCGAGTTTCCAGCAGTACTGCAACCGCTTGTTCCATCGTCCGGTGAAGATTCATCTGTTATTTGTTGTTCATCAGTTTTAGTTCTGTCTGCTTGTGTTGTTCTATTTCGTGGTGTTGGAACTTTACGCTATTTAATTTATTTTTTAATTGAATATAACAATAATAATATAATAGTATAATAATATAATAATTGAATATTTTGAATTAATGGATTAATAATGAAAAATTTTTTTTTTTTATTTGAAATAATTACTTTTATATCTTCTAATAAATCCCTACGGTTAAGCTGAAATTTTGGATGTTGAAACTCCCATGCCTGTTAGAAAAAATCATGTCAGTTTGTAAAGATTTTTTACGTGATGAGCCGAAAATTCATTAAAAACCTGTTCGCTGTAAGACCTTGCTTCGTCATCGTTACTTTTTATCTTGTGAAAGTCATATTTATTTAGTTGTCTAACAAAACTTGCCATATTATTATGTTTAAAATGTTGTGGCAATATTGTTTTGGCAAATTCTGTAGGATCGTGAACGACAAATGTATCACCGGTCACTCCCCAAGAAACAATATGTGCGTATGATTTATCCTCGAGCATCCTTTAAAAGAAGAAAAAAGATGGTAAATGTAATGAATCGTTAAAGAAACAAAATTTATGAATTGCATGCCCGAGCATAATTATAAGTTAAATTCGACAAAATTTTTTTAACTTTTTTCAATGTAGTGAATTACGCGCAGCTCGGAGGGCATACATGTATTTTTTTTAGCAGGTATATATTTCTTTCAGTTCCTCAACACATTGCCATTGTAGCTTTATGGATAACTTCTTGTTTGACCCAAGGTAAAAAGAACATAAGAGTCAAAGATATTGTTACCAGAACAGAGGCAATAAAAAATTACATCAAGAATAAAAATAATAAAAATATACAAAATATACAAAATATATAAAATATCGAAAATAAAGATGAAAAAAAGGTCACAGATAAAGACGCGTCAAGGAGAAAGAGGACAAACCTATAAAGCCTCTTTATAAAATCCGCGATATTTGCCGCGGTGCAAGTCATTTTGTTGTGAGGTCTTCGATATTCAGAGCGTTAAAATATTGAGGAGTGTCGGATAGGTTAAAGGAAGACCTCACAGACGGTCATTGCAAGAAAATGTTCAGGAGTGGACGTCGATAAAAACTTGTATCGATTATTTTCTGATTGATTCGACCTTTTGTTTTATATTTATATATTTTGATCTTTATAAAATTGAGAAGGATGCCTGACCACTCAACAAGCAGATCTACTATTAAATAAGGTACAGTATTAAAATAAAAGATTTCCGAATGAATGAAAACCTTGTTGATAGTTGTCGACACCTGATTGAATTAAAGCCATGCAATATAAAAATAAAAAACATAAAAATTCGTTGTGATTTATGCGCAACCTAGTTAGTGGATGCGTACATTGATTGCTCAAAGATATGCCAGGATTTTCGGACTAGCAATGCCGATCTCGAAGAAAATGTCGGTTGTTTAAAATCCTTTCATATGCATTTTGTAGGACGTTCTTAAGAAAATATTAACCGTATCATATTTTATAATATATAGACAGGATTACTCGTCGTTCAGGAAAATCCTTTGCACAAACTTGGTTAGTCAAGTTTATGCCAATGCATACTAAGCAAAAATCATGCACCACATTAAAGTTGTATGAATTAACTTATCATATGCGGGTAATAACTAATAAAACTAATGATAAACTGTTGATTATTTTATTTTTCGCGTGCTTCTGAAGTATATTATTAACTTATTAGTGTTTATGTGACGAATTTCGCAGATTATATTTGAAACTGTTTGGAGTTAATCCCCAAATATTCCATAAACATTCCAACCATCTTTAATTTATTAAACTGTTTCTGGTAAGCATTACTAATTTTATACATTACGGGTATGATCGATGTTCACGAATGAAGTGCTCAAGAGCATCTTTGTTTTTATGAGAAAACTTGAAAAAAAGAGGGGAACGCCTTAAAAAAATCACTTGTTTGTGATCTGTAAAGATTTTTCCTATTCTGTCACAATATCATGCTAATTTGAATAAATAATTTGAATAATTTGAATAATAGGGAGAATGCATGCTATAATACCGATTCATGGTATTTTTGATAAAACAATGGAATCTTGATGTCTAATATTTTCATTATTGTAACTAAATATGGGGTTTACTATTGTTGCTTTAAACTGGCAAAGAATAAATATAGTAATTGGTATGCGATCAATCTTCTAACCTGCACAATATATGCTATCGAAATTGCCCCTTTGTTTTATGCGTATGTAATTTCATAGCTATATATAGTTGTCACACTATATGCTAATATGTAAACAGAAGACAATAACTGAAATCCAAAAAGATTGGTTTTCCTAACATTAACTTCAATAACTTCAATAAATACTAATTTTCTGTAATTTACTCAAAGCTAGTTAATAATTCGGGGAATTTACAAATAAGGGCCCAAAAATGAAAATATTTACAAATACGGGCCCAAAACGAAAATATTTATATATAAGGGTCCAGGTCAACAACCATCCCAATTTGCCCATACTACATACCATACTAGCACTCTTTACAATGTTTATAAAGAATCAGCTTACCCCATCGATGCAGAAATGTGTTTTCCCGACCATAAAACTTTGCCGCCACCCACAATTAAGCAAGCAGGACGACCTCGAAAAACTCGGTTACGTAGTCGTGGAGAAACAGCACCTGAAGATCAAATTACTTGCAGAAAATGTGGCGAAAAAGGTCACAATATACGTACTTGTAGCCGAAGGCATAGGCAAAAAGAAAATTAAAAAGCTGTTTGGGAAAACAATATATTAGTAATTGTCCAAATAGGGAAATTAGCATTCGTAATTGTTGGTTTATACATACGTATTATTATCTTGCAAATCAATGTAACGTGCAATTATGCTTTTTAATTTATGAGTCGAATAATTGTGGCGCTGTTATGGCGTGGTAATACTTGGGCCCTTATTTGTAATATTTTAAAATTTTGGACCCTTATATTCCAGGAGCGACCGTTCTAGTTACACAAATTACGAAAATCTCCGAAGAGGTGATAACCAATCAAAATCGTGG